TTTCCCTGAGGACCAAGTCCCTGGCCATCGTCGTATTTTCTAAGGTACTTCCCAGTCCACAACTGAGATACCTTGAATTGCTCCCATTCAGAGTTATCAGCGGCATTTAGGAGAAAGTCTCCATCACGATGCCTAATAGGTTACACAGAACAGGACCCCTAAAGAATCCCATAAACTCCTAGTGTTTCCCTTGTCAGATCAGACTTGAAACAGCTGAAAAACCACTGGTTGCATCTCTATGTGTACTCTGCTTTGCTTACTGAGGCTGTAAGAAATGTGAGTGGAAGTTTTGTTAAGAGCAATGTAGGAAGGAAAGGGTGTACTCATCCATTTGCAGATAGTAGGGTTTTCAGATAATCCTGCAGCAGCTCAGCCCAAAGTGAGGAAAAGCCAGGAGTAGGAAAATCTCAGTATTCATGTCCTGGGAGAATATACGCCAGGGGAATCAGGGCAGGGGAGTCCTCCAGAGAATCTGAAAAGGTCCAGGCACACACAGGCCACTCACAAAGTATTAGTTCCTTCTCTATGTTAGGAGGCTTAGTTCAGGTTTGAAGAGGAAGGGACCCATTATTTGTGTATATAAGGCTTTAGTCCAGGCCTACCCTTCAGGTAACAACGGGGAAAACTTATCATCTTAGCCCCAGGAACTGGGGCACTTCAATATAGGAAGAACCAGAAGACTCACATGCTCTATCAAGCTGAGATCTGGAGTATACATGGGCTATGATGCTTCTTACAGAGAAGGAACTCAGCAAACAGGACTGTCCTTGATTCCCTGCCCCAAATTAGAATTTGCATATACCCACTTAGTAATACAAGGGTTCCCAGAGAGGGCCCCAACACAGACTCTGCAGGAATTGTCCTCATCAGGGACCTTCTAGTGGAAACATTAGAAAATTTGCCTGTTCAAAGCTAGTGGGTTAGACGGAGATGGCATGCCAACAGGTATGGAGGGTTGGCTAAGGTCAGGAGAGAATCCTGATGTCTGAAAAGGCTAGTTTAAAAAGGTTCCCAAGAAGTCAGCAGGTGGCATGGTGGTTAAGGCTTTGGATTGCCACTTGGCTGACTATAATTCAAATCCCAGACCTGGTGGCTTGCTCTTTCACCTTTCCCTCCCTCCCTCCTTGTCTGTCTGTCTCTGGTGAGAGCATGTGCCCTATAGCAAATTAAAATAATAATAATAAAATTAATTATTTTTTGATTTTGGTGAGTTTTTTTTTTTTTTTTTTTTTGCTATAGGGTGCGTGTGCTTGCCAGAAAGACAGAGACAGAGAGACAGAAAGCAAGAAATCCCCCCTCAGGGGATGGCCATGTCGCAATCCCTTCTCCTCCATTCTCCTCTTGGGATCTTGGGCATGCACGCACACATGCCCGACATGAGTTTAAGCCACCGTTTTTTGATTTTGGTGAGTTTTTTTTTTTTTTTTTTTTTGCTATAGGGTGCGTGTGCTTGCCAGAAAGACAGAGACAGAGAGACAGAAAGCAAGAAATCCCCCCTCAGGGGATGGCCATGTCGCAATCCCTTCTCCTCCATTCTCCTCTTGGGATCTTGGGCATGCACGCACACATGCCCGACATGAGTTTAAGCCACCGGGTCCAGGACTCGAACTGCAGTTAACTACATGGGAGTCCAGCGATATAGCCATCACACCATCTGCTGGTTCCAAAATAAATAAATTCTTTTTTTTAAAAAAAAAGGCTCCCAAGTTCTCTAATAAGTTGGTGGGGTTTCTCTTGCTGATCCTGCCCAGCTGGGACATTGACAAAGATCCTGGGAAGAACAGACAAAGCTTGGCACCATCTTTTGATATTTTCTTTGCCTTCTTTAAGCCAGTTCAAGAGACTAGGAGGATGAGAAGGCAGAGTGCAATCAGAAACTATAGTTTTTTCTAATAGATGATATATAGCAAGGTTTCTAGTTTTGTTTTCAGAGGAAAAAATATATAATATTATGAAAGTTATGCACAGAGGTTCTGGAGATTTCCTAGGTTCACAATCCTAGCTCTGCCATTTACTTGCAGTGTGATCTTGAACAAATCACCAAGCTTCTCTGAGACTATTTCCTCATCTCTAAAACAGGGATAATGATAATGTTCCACTCATAGGGTTGTTTTGAGCATGCATGAAGAACAGATTTTTGCAAATAACTGTTAAGTAAATGTGAGCTATCATTATTGTTAATATGACATAACGGTAACACATACACATTAGCAAGAGATTATTTCACACTGAGCCTTGATCCAGTCTCCCTCTCTTATCCTCTCTTGGGCTCCTCATTGATGACTCAACAGTGCATTGCTTCGTGGCTTCCAGTACAGTTTCTCTCTTCACTTTGCTGGAACTCTGACCTGAAGGTGATCCACAGATGCAAGAAATCCTTTCTGTTTTCTTCACAAAATAAGGATGATGTTTAAATGGGCATTTATTTGAGGAACGACCAGGAGTTCCTATCTTTCAGCCATCTTTCTTCAAAAGATTAAGACTGTGGACAGGAGGGGCAAGGTACTCCATACTCTTATTTTGAATGAATGTGTGGGCAAATGTGCCTGCCCCTTCTTCACTCGGTGATGAGTAAGAGGGGGATTCAGAAATTTTTCTCTGAAAAATTAACTACAGAAAAAGGCACGGGGAACTGGTTACCTGAAAGCTCTGTGTTCATCTGCAACATCGGGAACTGCTTTTTTTCACTCTTCTCTCTTCTAGAAGACTGTCAAGAAGGAGCCTGAGGGAGGATGGTGGATCAACCATGGCCTTGGAGAAAAGGAAATAGGTTCTCCACCCCTTCTGAAGGGAGAAGAAATAGCAGAGATCAACACGGATGAAGAGGAAGGCAAATGGAAATAGAGAAATGAAAAGGTAAATTCCCTACAGGTTAAAAGAAAAAAAGCAATGAGGGAGAAGGACAAGGAACAAAAGAGAAAAACGAAGAGGCTAGGAATAGGGTAAAAGAAAAGCAAGCAACTGAAAAAGAGTAACTCCCACATAAAGGTTAACCAGAAGAGTCTAGCTTTCCTATTTCACTTGCTCAGGGGAATGGAGCGCAATGCCATCTTCAGGTGCCATTTAATTTTCAAGTTGTTTAGATTCTTGATTTCAGGTGTTTTTCCTTCCTTACACCCATAATCCTTATGAGATTTCCAATATTGCTTCCTTTCATCTTTGGGGTGCTCAAGCATCACTTTCCACCACAGAGATGGACCTCTCCAAAGTGATCTCAGAGCATTTAGGCAAGTCTATGAGGGCAGGAGCAAAAAAGCAAGAGGCAAAGAATGAGCTGAGGTTCAGAAGAGGATCTGGAATATCCTGAGGCTGCAGGCTGGTTATAGGATACTTCCTGGGCTCTGGAATGCCTCTACCAAAAACTAGAAGACTGCCACAGACACAACCAGACAGTTGGGTGCTGCATGCTTTCAACTGTAGCACTAGGTTGGAGAATGTGGCTCAAATCTGCTCTCTGCTATGCAGACCATAAACTATCAAATAAGGAAGAGAGCAGATCATCTAGCCCAAACCCAATTTCCCAAGGAGAAAGCTGGGGCCCAAAGAAGTGAAATAACTTGCTGGAAGCTGCACAGTTAGCCAGTGACTTCCTTTTCTTTGGAAGCAGAAAGAAGCAGAATGGTAACTCCTGTAATTCACTGACCCTAGACACAGTCCATAAAGTGCTTAGAGGTTATTAGAAGGCACTCCAGAAAGGTAAGGCTGGCGTTTTTTTCTGGAAGCTCCTGAGAGTACCAACCCTAGGCACCTCATTATTTGGCTACAAGGACAGGCTCCGCCTTGCTTTTTCCTCTATTTTAATTCCCAAGGCTGCCTGGAGGAAGAAGCTCTGGCTGCTACCTGTCATTACTCCCCAATCAGTCTGTGGAGACAGACGCCAGAAACTGTCAGGGGTGACAAAGGAATCCTGTCATGATGCCAGGGACCAGGGAGCAATGGCTAAGTTCCTGGGATTAAGCAAGGCAATTATGGCTGAGTTAAAGCTAGGATGGGCAGGACTGGAGGACCTGAGATGGCAAAGGAGAATAGGAAAGAATGATCTAGCACTCCAAATGACTTTAAGTGGGTGGGCTACTTCTCGCATAATACTTCCTCCATCCCAAAGAGGTTTCTTAATCTTTTAACCGTCTAGGCCTGACAGGCCTACTCACCTTCTCCCCGTGCCCACTTGGTGCAGTGCCACCATCAGCCCATCCTTTTGCTCTTTTCTAATCCCTTCAGCGCCCTTTGCAGACTATGTCTCGGGTTCTTTCCACTCACCTCCCACCAGCGCCTTCCACTCCAATCACCTCGAGCTACATAGAGTCTGTCCACCCTCTCATACCTTTGACTTCTCCCACCCTCCCGGCCCTCCCCGACTTGACTCTCTTGGTCCACTCCCCGCCAAGATTGGCTTCTCCCATTCCTCCCCACCACACCGCGTTTCCCCCACCCCCAGATGCCTTTGGTTTTTATCGCCGTCGGTCGCAGGCGCCTGGTCTCAGATAAAGTGGATCCAGCCCTGGGGCTCCGGCGCTCCGGCACTGCCCGGGTGCTCGGGCCCACGTAGAGCATAGTCACGGCCGGCGGTGTTGTCCCAGAACTCGTGACCTG